TACTAAAATTTTCTTAAGTCTCAGTAGATTCCATTCATGAGTTCATCCAAACTGAGATCCTGAATCTCCTCATTAATCCTATTTTATGTCAGTTACGTCATTGTCCACTTACCAACTAAAGCTCTAAAAGTAACTTCAACTTGGCTTTTCAGTCATTAGTACCCAGGAACATCTGGAAACCACTGGGGTTATTTTGGGTAGCCTGGCACTTGGCTGCTATAACAAATGGCAAGGGACTTGGTATAAAGCAATGGTTTTCAAGTCCTCTGATAAAGGCAGGATCTTGGCTCTCAAGCACTTTCTTTAGACAAAGCAGCTTGAGTTCTACTTTTATCTATTTGTACATGCTTCCAGGTAAATTCATCTTAAAAAAGTAATTTTTATTCCACATCTAAGAGGCACAGGATCCCCTTCCCTCTTCTCATTTGTTTCCCATCTCCATCTCCCATCCTTTTTCCTCCCTTCTTCCCTCTACTTCTCTTCCTCCTTCCACCCCCCACCCCCACGCTGCCTTTTTTGGTGCTGATCCTGGGGCTTAAACTCAGGGCCCTGAGCATTGTCCCTGAGCTTTTTTGCTCAAATAGAGCTCTACATTTGAGCCACAGCTCCACTAATGGCTTTTTACTGCTTGACTGAAGTCTCATGGACATCCCTGCCTGAGCTGGCTTCAAACCAGGATCCTCAGATCTCAGCCTCCTGAGTAGCTAGGCTTACAGGCGTGAGCCATGGGCTCCTGGCTCACTCCCTTGTCTGACCCACTACAAGCACATTTCATTCTCCTGAATAATTTAGTCCTAAAACATTGTGTGCGCCAGAGAATGGGAAGCATCTGTGCAACTATGCCATGAGGGGCCTGGTAGAGGTACAGCCCAAGCAGGCTGAGGGGCAGCGGCAGAGGAGTGGGGGGGGGGGACATCCAGGTGCATAGTCAGAGCCCAAGGGTGAAGTACCTGCACCATAGACTGGGGTGGGGGTGGGGGCAGCCTAGCATGGGTGGAGAGCCTGAGCTGGGAGGAGGATGGGGATCCTCCCACTTGAGCCCCAGAAGAGGAGAGCCCAAACAGAGTAAAGTGTCAGAGGCGGGGAGCCCTGTCGGACTGGGTAATTCTGAGGCAAGGGATGACAAGATGCCCATGCAGTGATATCTCAGTCTTGTTTATGAAACAACTAATACTCTGATCACAGGGCAAGGAATGCATTTACCCACCAAGACAAGGTCCTGTTCTTTCCTCTGCTATTATAGGTTCAATGAGCCCAGGGCAAACTCAAAGAGGCTTTAGGAAAATAGGCAAAAGGGCACATTCCAAGGGGGAGAAGACAAAGTCAAGAAGCACTTCCACATTGGTAAGGATCCAGGAGTTGCCCCCTGAAGTATATACAGGGGCCCTGTCTTTTGACAGAAATTAATACAAAAGGTTCAACACTCATAATCGTGTGTCTTTCAGACATAGGGTAAAAAAAACAAAACAAAACAAACCAAAAGAACCCATTCAGTCAATGGTTTTCCATTCATCATTCATACTTCAAGCACATGTAAAAATCTACAGCCAGCCAGTCCCAGGGCTCCAGGTTTCCCAAGGAACTTAAGTAGACGTGGTGAGGGCAAGGTGGGGTGAACAGCAGCCCCACTCTACTGAGTGCTGAGCCCATGAGAGTTGTAGATGACATTCATGTGAGGAAAATGTGGAATGCGGCATCACAGATCAATACCAGTATGGGAGCCCATGTGACAGAAGTGGGGAGGGGGCCCAAGCATGACAGGGGCAACCTAGCATCAAGAGTCAGAAACCAAGTGGCAAGAAAAGGGTATCCATATGACAGTGGCAATAGCGGTGATGAGACTGGCTACATGCAGAAGACTGACCAAATCAGTTCATAAAGGGAGAAATCCTATAGTGTCAGAATTGGAGACATCAGTATGAAGTCATGGATTTCAACAGAGCTTTAGATATAAATGTGTATATAAGCCAGGCATTGTAATCCTAGTTATTTGGGGAAGGCTGAAAACAGAAAGACTGCAGTTTGGAGTTGATTAGCCCAAATAGAAGTTTTCAATACCACTTCTCAACAAACAGCTAGGCACAGTGGCATGTACCTGTCATCTTACATGGAAGGCTGAGATGAGGAGGATAGTGATTCCAGACCAACCCCAGCAGAACACTCTGCAAGTTTCCATCTCAAAGGAGGAAACTGGACATGACAGCTGCCTATCATCCAGCTGCCACAGAAACCTAAAATAAGTGCATCACAGTCTACGTACATGCCTTGGCAAAAAACAGCGTTGGATGCATGGTTTGGCAGTAGAGCAACAGCCTAGGAAGTACATAGCCCTGAGTTCAAACCTCAATTCTACCAAAAATAAATGTGCATGTGTGACACATACTCACTCACACTCCCTAGATTTGTTCAGAAAAGGTAAAAAGAACAAAGTTTTTGCCTGAGGCCAGATTGACTGAGGGGTGGGAGTAATAAAAATGTTCTGGCAACAGTAGTGATGGTTTTAGTTGAGTCCTTAAGGGTCAGTAACATCTCAAATGGGAGAATTGTGGAGAATATGGAGTTCTGCTCAATAAAGCTGTTAAAGCTGGTCGATAAAGCTGTTAAAATGTCCCACAAGGCTTTATCTAGTGATGGCATAGCCGTCTCTGTGTAAATACTGCCATGTTCACACAAAATCACTCACCTAACAATGCATTTTTCAGAATGTATTTGTCATTAATCAATGTACAAGTGAATATTGAATAAAAACATTCAACTAATGTGGATGACAAAAAAATTTAAGGGCTGGGAAGGTGGCTCAGTGGTAGAGTGCTTGCCTTGCATGCATAAGGCCCTGGGTTCCATTCCTAAGCACGACATAAGCAGAAAAAGCCAGAACTGGTGTTATGGCTCAAGTGGTAGAGCGCTAGCCTTTAGCTGAAGAGCTGAGGGACAGCGCTCAGGCCCAGAGTTCAATCCCACAACCAACAACAACAAAATTTATGTGTTGACTTTTAAGAGATAGTCTTTAAGAATAACCCATATAAGCTGGGTACTGGTGGCTCACACCTGTAATCCTAATCAGAGGCTGAGATCTGAGGATCATAGTTCAGAGCCAGCATGTGCAGGAAATCTCCTGAGTCTTATCTCCAATAAACCACTAGAAAACTGGAAGTGGTGCTGTGGCTCAAGTGATAGAGCACTCACCTTGAGCTGAAGAGCACAGGGACAGCGTGCAAGCCCAGAGTTCAAGCCCTAAGATCGACAAAAAAAAAAAAAAAACATGTAGAGATCTAACCTAAAACCAGGCACTGATAGCTCACACCTAAAGCCAGCCTGAAGAGGAAAATTGATGAGACTCTTATCTCCAGTTAACCACCAAAAAGCCAAAAGTGGGTCTGTGGTTCAAGTGGTAGAGCACTAGCCTTGCACAAAATAACTCAGGGACAGCACCCAGGCCCTGAATTCAAGCTCCCACACACACATGTGGGCACACACATTTTCAAGCTGAGTGCCAAACTCCTTGAAACTACCTCCAATTAACCAAGAAAAACCTGGAACTGGAGGCATGGCCTAAGTGTTTCAGCGAGTACAAGTCATGAGTGAAAAGGCCAAGTAAGAACTTCAGGTACTGAGTTTAAGTCTCAGTAAAAAAGTTTTCTTTTTTTTGGTTGGTCGTGGGGCTTGAACTCTGGGCCTGAGAGCTGTCCCTCAGTTCTTCAGCTCAAGGTTAGCACTCAACCACTTGAGCTACAGCGCCACTTCTGGTTTTCTGGTGGTTTATTGGAGATAAGAGTTTCACGGACTTTCCTGCCCAGGCTGGCTTTGAACCTCCATCCTCAGATCTCAGCCTCTTGAGTAGCTAGGATTACAGGCCTGAGCCACCCGACGCCAGGCTTAAAAAAGTTTTTTGAAACACCCAACACTTCTGGGGCTGGGAAGGTGGCTCAGTGGTAGAGTGCTTGCCTTGCATGCATGAGGCCCTGGGTTGGATTCCTTAGCACCCACATAAGCAAAAGGAAAAAAGCCGAAGTGGCGCTGTGGCTCAAGTGGTAGAGCGCTAGCCTTGAGCTGAAGAGCTGAGGGACAGCGCCCAGGCCGAGTTCAGGCCCACGACCGGACCCAAAAAGAAATGACTATTTTCTATTGCTATAATAAAATCCCAGAGACTGAGTAGTTTTAAACAAAAAGGTTGTTTTATTGTTTTAGCTCATAATTTTGGAGGCTGACAGCACCCTGTGCAGCTTAACACATGGCAAGAAGCAGGAAGGTAGAAGGCTAGTACATGAGAAACAAAACACAGGGGTAGCCTTGCTTTCTAACAACTTGTCTTAACAGGAACGAACATGAGGAAGCATTCCAGGAGGGTTCCACCCTGACCCAAACACCTCCTTTTAGGTTCCCTATCCTAACACTGTCATACTGGGTGTGAGTTCTGGTGGGGACAAACCTGAAAATACTGTAACATCTAACAAAAGCTTCTTAGCTATAACATAGCTTAAGGCGTTTTTCCAGGTGTTATGGCTCATGCCTGTAACCTTAGCACTTAGGAGGCTGAGATCTGAGGACCAAGGTAAAAAGCCAGCCCAAGCAGGAAAGTGTGCAAGAGTCTTATCTCCAATAAAATGCCATAAAGCAGAAAGTGGAGCTGTGGTTCAAAATAGTGGAGCACTAGCCTTGGGCACAAAAGCCTTAGGACCAGTGGCGCTGTGGCTCAAGTGGTAGAGCGCTAGCCTTGAGCTGAAGAGCTGAGGGACAGCGCCCAGGCCAAGAGTTCAGGCCCCACGACCGGACCCAAAAAAAAACAAAACAAACAAACAAACAAAAAAAAAAGCCTTAGGACCTGAGGACCAGCTCATTAAAAAAAAAAAAAAAAGGCAGTTTAAAATGACCAATAAGCAACACATTTTCCCATTTTCAGAGCAGGCATTCCTAACTGCTGAATAGTAAGGCAAAATATGGATATTATCTTTATCTTAGCAAATAAGGAACATCCCCAAGTCACAAGACAGAGAAAACAGGAAATTGTAAAATATTTTTATTGTAAAAACAGAATCAATAGAGGCCAACAATGCAAATTTTATCTCAGAGCATTTCTCCTCGGTTCCTGATCTAGCTAGGCTCCCTATGTACCAACAAGTTTCCATTAGTATTTCTCCAGATTTATAGTCCTTACAGGGATGGGAAACCTTTTTCTGCCAAAGACCATTTGGATATTATAACATCATTCAAGAGTCATACAAAATTGTCCATGTAAGGAGAATGCTACAGGAGCCTACAACAAGAATACAAGAAGTATCTATAGGTCCACCCTGTCATGTACCCAATGATTTCTTGAGCCTTGCATAGCTAAGCTCTAGACAGTCTCCATCCCTGTGTTGATTAAAGATACATATTTTGCTTGAAACAAAAAAAATCCATCTGATATTAAAACCAGTAATGAATTAAAAAGCCCCAAACCTTAGTTCTGTTGTGCTTTACTTTCATATTTCCTACAAAGAGATCTATACATCTCAGATGCCTTCAAAATTTAGTCAGTAAAACTGGTGCCTGACCTAAATGGTACAGTAACAAAGAACACTACATCACAAGTTAGTAAGCCAAGCCTCTTATGACATCTGCAGTACATCCAAATTTAAAGATTAAAAAAAAATTAGAACTTAAACTTTCCAACTGTTGATTTTCCACCTTTAAAAGGCCGTAGTTATTTGCAGCATACAAATGGAAAGAGTAGTGCAAAATGCATCAAGTTTTTATGATAAATACACTTTCAGCCTAATGGCTGCCTGAAAAGCAGAGTGAGAAATTACCACTTCTCAAAAGCAATCTAGACTGATTTAAAGTTCACAATTTAGAAATATCAATTGCTACTCTATTTCCATATATTGCAAAATGATTTCAGAAACAGATTAAATATACAATTACTTTACAAAAATATAAATTGGGGCTTTACAAAACTTTATAAAATATAACACCATTTGTAAATGCAAGATAGTTTCACACTGAAATAGACAATACTTCCACAGATATGAAATCTAGTCAAATCTAGTCAATGCCTTGACCATTCTTACACATCATTGCTTCCAATCTTCAAGCCTAAGCAGATCTGTGCTCTAACACTTTTTTTTTTAAAGACCTTGTTGATTTTCAATGGTTTTTCTTTTAAACAGATTTCTCATTCTAGAAATATTAAAGCAGATGAATTTCAAATAATGAATTAAAGGCTAATGTATTTCTATACTATTGACAAATTTATAATGTTTTTCATTTAAAATATCTGACAATTATAATTTGCTGCCTATAAAATAGTTGTGATGTAAAAATACAAATACAACTATTTTATGAAAAAAATTTATTTTATTCATATGAGGATACTTCTAAATTTGGTTATTTGTAGCTGTAAGGTAAGATGTTTTCCTAATTATATCTATTCATAAACACTCATTTTATCACCCTGAAGAGCACCAGTGTATTTTGTAAATAAACCAGAAGGTAGGGGGGCTTCATGTAACAGTGCTAGCAGAATAAGGCACCACTTGGTAACTGAAGAAAAGAAGTTATTTCCAAATCATACTCTGCTACTGGTGTCTTAACCATTACATAAGGATGGTTAGAAAAAAAAAAAGCACTAATATTATTAATCACATTATACTCTTGTTCCCATCATTCTGTGCTTTCAGTTTTCCATATAACAGAAAAAAAACCTAATATAGTAGGTGACCAGTTAAATAAATTTCCCCAACATTCCAGAAAGAAAAAAAAATCTAGATATAAACAAGAAACAAAATTTATCTGCTGTATCCCAGTAAAAGAGTGCAGAGAGGGCAGATGGCAGAGAGAGCTACTTCCTATAATATATATGAGAGGGCAGGTGGCAGGGAGAGCTACTTTCCATAGTGTATAGGAGGCACATAGGTTAGAAATTTCTCAGGCAAATTCACAGCTAGAGCAAAACTGGCAGTTTTACATATCACCTAAAGCTGATTTCTCAGATAGTCACACCTGATTAAATATTTCAAAATGTGTCTTAGTCACTGCTATCATCATCATCATCATCATCAGATCCGTCATTTAAAGGAGACTTCAATGACTGACTGTAAGAGTCTGATCTAGTAGGCTGGCACGTGGCCAGGTCCCCAGTGGAAAGCAGATCATAGCAGAAATCACAAATCCGAACAGGCTTAGAGGACTGGCTAGGAAGAAGAAACCTCTTTTCGGAGCAGGGCCCACAAACAACAAAACCACATTTTCGGCAATGGTGACGCCGGTTAACAGGTGTGAATTTTGCTTTCTGACAGCGCATACATACAGTGGCTTCAGAGTCAGGAACCCAGACTGCAGCATGTTCATTATTAGGTGTCTTCCCACTTTTGGAGAGTAAGTCAGTAACACATTTGTTTATGTGATTCATCCATTCCGACTTCTCAGTGGCAGTGGCAGCATAAACTGCAAATGACTTAGTTGGTGTCTTAATAAGCCATCCATTCCTTAATTCTCCCTCATCTTTGATGGAATCAATGGTAACATTTTCCAGGGGAATAATATGCTGTTTGTTGTATTTTTTCTTCTGGATGACAATATTGCCATATACAAGAATATCATTAAATAAGAAAAACTGCCTTGCTTTAGGTTTCTTTCTGCACAGCTTAGTCAATACTCCTTCTCCAATAAGAACCCTTCCAGGTATAGTTAAGGGCTGACCAGCTGCTCCAAAACAGTTTTCCACTATACTTATACGTCTAGTATTTGCTTCACTGTTTGCCAAGCGATCCACCATCTTTTGCTAATAGCCTTTAAAAAAAAAAAAAAGAAAAACTAATTAGTTCATAGAAATTTTGGTAAGGTAATAAACATATAAACCTAAATATAATCTAAGAAATTATTGCTTTTCACAAAGGTAATACTCCAATATTCTTTTTAAAATAATCACTATACACACCACAAGGACTAACCTCTCTGTTTATACTAGTTAACTACAGTAGCAGTGCATAACTACAATACAAGTAAGCAAACTATAAAATATAAACTTGTAGCCGGGCGCCGGTGGCTCACACCTATAATCCTAGTTACTCAGGAGGCTGAGATATGAGGATCGCAGTTCAAAGCCAGCCCGGGCAGGAAACTCCATGAGACTCTTATCTCCAATAAACCACTCAAAAACTGGAAGTGGCATTGTGGCTCAGAAAACTGGAAGTGGCATTGTGGCTCAGAAAACTGTAAGTGGCGCTGTGGCTCAAGCCGTAGAGCGCTAGCCTTGAGCTGAAGAGCTGAGGGACAGTGCCCAAGCCCAGAGTTCAAGCCCCACGACCGACCAAAATACATAAATAAATAAACTTGTTATAAGGAATGAAAATGTAGACAACAAAAGGCATTCTAAAAAGAAATTCAGTCCTATGAAATTGCTTCTCAATGAGACTCTAACCAAATATTACATAAACTAAGAAAATTACTACCATTTTCCTTGCTTTCAGTCTCTCCCTCCAAACCAGGCCTCAGGCAGTTTGACCCTGCCTTTTCCTAAAATGATTCCCCTTAACCTTTAACAGTTCATTTTGTTTTTTGCTATTTTTTTTGAGGAGGTAAACTTAAATAAGGAAAATACAACAAAGTGTTCAAGATATTCAAGTGAAGAAAAGAAGTGAACACCATTATCACATTGCTTCAGATATATACTGTATTTGATCAAGGCTGACAGTACAAGTTTTTAAGACATCCTCATTTTCTGTTATTGATAAAACATTTCAACTAAATTTTAAAATATGCTTAATTACACATAATCTAACTTCAGAGATATAAAATGCAATAGGCTTATTTTTAGACTTCAATATATTATTAATATATCTTAGCTAGTCATAAATGTTAGCATACACAAAAACTAAGATTATAAAACTATATAGCATACCATCAATAATATTATAATTTTTTGTTATTTTATATTCAAGTGTTCAACTAGTATATTTAGGAATCAATCTAGATGCAGGAAAAAAAATGGAAAATACAAATGAGTTCCCTGCTCCAAGTTTAGATTCTGGTTTAGGAAAAAGAAACAGAAAACAAAAGTGAGAACCAAGTAATAATTAATGTGGTAATTTTTCTTTTTGTCTGTTTTTTGAGAGGGTCTTACCATGTAGTCCATATGATTCTCAAACCCACAATCTTCTTGTGTCAGCCTCCTAAATGCACCACCTCACATGGCTCAAAGCCATGATTTAAAAAAAAAAAAAAAAAAAGGTACTAAAAGTAATCAACTGAAAAACAGCAGACTAGATAGTTAGAAAAGGTTCTTCTAAAGTAAGTGTCCTTTCAGCTGACAAGATATAGGCAAGTATAGGAGATGGAGGGGGAAAAATATACCAAACAAAAAGAAAACCTGCAAGCCAGGTGCTGGTGGCTCATGCCTGTAATCCTAGCTACTCAGGAGGCTGAGATCCAGGAATTGTGGTTCAAAGACAGCCACGGCAGGAGATTCTGTGAGACTGTAGAATTAACCACTGGGATACTGGAAGAGGCACTGTGTATCAAAGTGGTAGAGCACTAGGCCTTAAGCAAAAGAGTTCAGGGACAGAGAGCCCAGGAGAATAACTGTAAAGACCCCATGGTTGGGCTGGGAAGGTGGCTCAGTGGTAGAGTGCTTGCCTTGCATGCATGAGGCCCTGGATTCAATTCCTTAGCACCACATAAGCAGAAAAAAAAGCTGGAAGTGGTGCTGTGGCTCAAGTGATAGAGCGCTAGCCTTGAACTGAAGAGCTGAGGGACAGCGCCCAGGCCCAGAGTTCAGGCCCACAACTGGACTCCCCCCCCCAAAAAAAGACCCCAAGGTTGTCACTTTAAAGAATAAATTATAATTTATTTATCCTCACTTGAATTCTACTGATTCTACTTACTTGCACAGCCTGTACAATGATGCAAATGGCTTTCTTATTACTACTACGAGTGAAGTTAACAACATCAAATCATCATAAACATATATAGTGTTTTCCACAGCTATTATATTCTGACTCTTAAAAACCTAGAATAGAGAAGATTTTATGATCCCTCGGGGAAACATCAATATTGGCTAAAATGTGAGATGCAGGAGAAACTAAGGCAGAGAGATTCAGTAAAGTAAGCAGCAGAATTTACTCACAGAAAAGAGGGCAGTGTGTTAAACCACTTTGCATTTACTGCCGTATTCCCAACCCACAGTAATCTTACACTTGCATTATTCCTTCTGTTTTGTGGAATTTAAGGGGATTATGTACATTGGCCAAGGCTACGACAATAAACCAAGGCTCAAATTGTATTTTTCTGTGCTGTTACCAGGATATTATGGGACACTAATTGTCCCTTAAAACTTCAAAGTCCATGAGACTCTTGTCTCCAATTTACTACCAAAAAGCCAGAAACACTGCTGTAGATTTCGAAGTGATAGAGCACTTTCAAAGTCTTGAGCACAAAAGCTCAGGGGCAGCGCCTAGGCCCTGAGTTCAAGGGCCCCAGGACTGGCAAAAAAAAAAAAAAAGGAAAGGAAGAAGGGGGAGGAACAGGGACAGGGAGGGAGGGGGGGGAGAAGGAGAAAGGAGAGAAAGGAAGGAATAAAGGAATAAAAAAAAAACACCTGTCTAGCAAATGTTAGACCCCAAATTTAATCCTCAATACTGCAAAAGAGAGAAAGAAGGGAGTAAAGAATAGGAAAAGAGAGGGAGGGCGAAGTTGGAGCATAATTATTTGGCTAGATCACATACCTTTAGAAGTTACACAGGAATGGACATAAATATAGGCAATACTAAAAGGTTACAAATACTCAATTGTTTCAAGTATGATCACTTTATTTTATTTTACTTTTTGCCTGTCCTGGGGCTTGAACTCTGAGCCTGGGTGCTGTCCCTGAGCTCCTTTTGCTCAAGGCTAGTGCTCTACCACTTTGAGCCACAGTGCCACTTCTGGTTTTCTGGCGGTTAACTGGAGATTAGATTCGCACAGACTTTCTTGCCCAGGTTGGCTTCAAACCATGATCCTCAGATCTCAGCATCCTGAATAGCTAGAATTACAGGCATGAGTCACTGGCTCTCCGCTCTTTACCTTATTTTTAACAGTATCAGCAGCCCATTTAGTTAAATTTCATTAATGAGTTATGACCTAAACTTCAAAAACAATGGTTGAGCAGACATTTGGCTTTAAGAAGCCACTTCCACTATCCTTTTTGTTCCTCAAATGTTTTTTCTTTTTTTTAGGTCCGGTCGTGGGGCCTGAACTCTGGGCCTGGGCACTGTTCCTCAGCTCTTCAGCTCAAGGCTAGCGCTCTACCACTTGAGCCACAGCGCCACATCTGGCTTTTTTCTTTTTGCTTATGTGGTGCTGGGAATCGAACCCAGGGCCTCAGGCATGCAAGGCAAGCGCTCTACCACTGAGCCACCTTCCCAGCCCCTCCTCAAATGTTTTGTCTGACACAAAAAGAACTGAACGAGGCTGGGCATGGTAGCTCAAGCTTAGCTACTTGAGAAGCTGAGGTAAAGAAACTGCAATCTGAAGCCAGCCCAGGGCTACATTCATGAAAGACTCCATTTCAATCAATGGCAGGGTGTGATGGCATGTGCCTCCCATCTCAGCAACTAAGGGAAGCACAAACAGGAAGACTGCAGTGCAAGAAACAAAGCAAGACCCAGTCTAGAAAAAAATCAGCCCAAAATGGGAGGGAGGGAGGAAAGGAGAGAGAAAAAGGAAAAGAACTAGAAACTCTGAGGAAGAATACAAATTCTTCCCTGCACACAAACAACTGACAGGGAGAAAATGTATGTTGGATTGGGATTAAAGGGAGGAAACACAATGGGAGAAAGAAGTGTGAAGAATGGAGTAAAGCCATGAAAGGAAATTAAAACACCAATTTTACCTAAGCTATTATTAAGATACACCAAAGCAATATTCTATGGTAAATTAAAATCTTGACTCCAGACATAAACCTCCAAATACAAATTTACTGCCAGCACATTGAGGTGCCCTAAGCAGTAAGAACTCTCAGCCTTTTGTGAAAGGATTCGAATACAAGACTACCAGATCTCTTCTTTGTTGCCTTGTATGTCCCTCCCCCACAGTATAACCCATGCTTTCACTGTATTTGATGTCGGTATAATTTGTGGAGGGGAAGGGGAAAAACAAGTTTAACTAGGGATACAGGTGGACCCATTGCAACAATGAGAAGTACAAGTCGTTATGTCAAAAACCAAACTTTACAACTTTGGTGGGGGGGGGGGG